CGACGTTTTGATTGTTGGTATCCACAATCGTCTTCGGGTGATGACTACTTCAACTGATGAAACGGAACTCTTCATTCAAATTCATATTTTAGAAATCCATAAAACACCAACGATATTCTCAATGCGTGCAGTACTGAAAATGACTCACTGATTGTTTCTCTTCTGCTGAGAACAGCATTCAAGTGAAACTCATTTTAATAGGTATTCATGTCTTATACACCCAAATGCATTTATTAGAATAAAATAGAAAACGTGAATGTCAAGGATAGAGATAATTGAGAATTGTATTGAAATAACATAAATTATTATACTGATTGAACGTTATATCGAAACAGATAAATTGCACAATAATTTTTTTAATAGATAAACAATTGAAATGACACAAACTGGTATAACAGTTAAGTATATCTTAGTGTGAGTTATAACTTTCCCACTCAAATTCTGATTTGGATTTTTGAAAAATAAACTGGTTCTGAGATATTGATCATATAAGTAAGAGAGATGGAAAAGTGGTTAGCTTAATATTCACGGATTGTAGCAAATCAACATTCTGATCAAGATGCTAAACATTCGTATTGGTGAAACGTTGAAAAATGTCTATTAAAAACCCGAAAAACAACAAATACCATCACCATATCCATAAATATTTGGATGGAGTCACCATCTTGAGCGAGCGAGAATATGGCCTCTGGAAACAAAGATAAACAGGCGGCCTTCTATCGTATGTCACCTATATTGGGAATAAGGCAATCGAGAAACATGGAGAGTCAAGAGCTGTTGCGCTTGATATTTCTAAGGCCTTTGGTCGTGTGTGGCATGAGGACTTGCTGGCCAAACTTCGATGCATTGGCTCGTCGAATCATTTTTGTGTATGGCTCTCCAGCTTCTTGGGAGAACGTTCCTTGCAAGTGGCTGTCGATGGATGTCTCTTGAATAGTTTCACCAACAACGCTGGTATTCCCCAGGAATCCATATTGTATCCAACCCTATTTTTATTGTATATCAAGTACTTATTGTAGAAAACCAAGGATCGATATATTTGGATTCCAGGACATCGGCAGCAGCAGGAAGTTGCATATCCCAATGAGAATCCCAAGAGGTGATTTCGAATTGGGGTGAAATAAACCAGGTTCATTCAATGCCACAAAAACTCAGGCATCGGTTTGCTCCAAAAAGATAAATGTCTCCTAACCGGATATAATAATGTCAGAACAGACAATTTCGATTTCTGCATCGATACGTTCGTTGGGGGTTGGAATAGATACAACAATACAACAAATAGATGCAACAACATCCGAACCAGAAAACTGTAGACACCTCAGCAGTTTTTGATGTTTCATAAACATTGTTCTCATGTATGGAGCTTCGCCCCTAAGCATATCCTGAAGCTGCCGTATTCCATCCAGAAAAAAAGCATCCACCTGATTGGGGACATTAACATCACTTGCGACCTTGATAGTCTGGAACATTGAAAAAGTTTGGAATTTTGAGACCCTATGTAGTGTGAGACATTGTCGGATCAGCGCATCAGCGCAGAGCTGAATACCATGTTTAGTTGATCTTCGTGATTTTTTTCTATTGAAACCAATACAGTTCGGAAAGAGAATAAGGTAGAGTCACTGATTTATATTTTGTGTTTCGAACAGAACAAGTTTGATAACCATAGACCGAAAACTCAATCCACGATCGAGGTTTGTACCTTTCTTCAATATTTACTGTTGATAACCAGATGATAACAGAACCTAAGAGTATTACAGTCGTGATCTCCAATACCTACCATTTGAGTGATGATAATGATCTTGTGATGCACTGTATGGAACCTTTGCTGTAGTGACGAACATTACTGTAGTTTTATCCCAACACCAAACTGTTATTTTTAAAAACTGGACACGTGTTTCAATAAAGCAGTATACCTAGTAACAAAAATGTATTAAACCTTATTCAATGGAACCCATGACCTAAAGATTGGATGTGTAGGCCTAGCTTGATAGTGAAAATTCAGTCTTTATCATCTCCTGATGATACCAACTTGGTAGATAAGGCATATGTCGAGAAATAGTGTTTTATGCTGTTGTGGGAGAAAAATGATTGTTGATTTGGACAGTCATATTTCCTGGTAAAATATTGAATAACAAGGAACAATTGGTGTATACAACATCCGCAACTCTGATTTGCTTGCACTTCTTTAGAAGTTACGTTTTTGAAAACTGAGAATATTGAACACTTCATAAAACAAAATTGATTATTGATAATTGACAATACTGATTCGTTGGGCTTACCGCAATAAATAAATATCAATACCGGACATTATATCCGAACAAGTCGCGAGAAATTAACAATAAATATATCGAGTACAAATAACGAATGTATACTTCTTACGCAATACTAGCTCTTGATTTATTAGAATATATACGATCAGGTATATGTATTATGATTTATTTACACGCCGGTCAATCTTTCATACGGTCTTTCTCGTGATTGATCATAAGTATGTATTCAAAATATGACCATGAAGTCTGCATTCAACCGTTCTCGTGAAATTCACAACTTTCATCAATATATAAAAGGAATGGAATAACATGTTTTACCGAGCCAAATATTTCACTGGATATGATGGAAATAGAGAGAAGCTATTGGATTATTCAATGAAATGGATCCCAGTGATCCAGAAGGATCCAGAATCTAAGGAATTGTCAATTTTGAAACATGAGAATTGAAGTTTTTTATGTTTATCTTTGGCATTAAAAAAGATATTAGATTACTGGTATGTGGCCTGAATGGCTCATCTACATTGATTTTTCTGCAAAATCTCGCAATTGTCTCTGTTCTTTTACCAAAATATGTTGAAGTTACAACTTTCCTGATTTCTGAATGCGGGATTTTCCAGAAAGAACAATGTGGAATTGGCAAGGATAAAATGGAGAAATCTGAAGTTCATGAGCTCAAGTGTTCGGAGTGTTATAGTGCTTATGTTGGACAAAATGGCCGAAATTTCTCAAAACGGTATTCTGAATATGAAGGGTCTTTCAGATTAAGTGAAGATTATTGGACGTTTTCCAACCATTCCTTGGAATGAAACCACAAGTTCCAGAATCTAATCTTTGGAAATTCATCAATATATATTTTTAACCCATTGAATGACCAAATTGACTTGGTCTACTTGCCGGTTTTCAGATTAGCATACCCACATTGTCACAGGTGAAAAAAATATAGATAATAACGTCATTAAAGACCTCTTATCACATATTTGGTTGTATAGGTACATAAGGGTGTACATTGTTGATTATTTCAGTGAAGATCAAATCGAAGTTCATGAAATTACTATGAATTTTCATCAAGTAACGTCCGAATCGATCAGAAATTTATTCATAATGTTATAGCATTTTCTGTATATTTCATAAACTTTCTCTGTAGGTATATAAATTCCGTTATGTTATGTTGCTGAGGTCATACTGATATTAAATGACTAACAATTTAATGGCCATAATGACGATCATCGTAGTTGCCGGTAGTATTAGAAAAACGCACGAATACTTATATAATGACCAGTGTAATAACCACGAATTCTTTCGATAATTGGCAATTCATTCAGTTTTCGTTTCATCAACTACCAAAACTGAATATCTTTTGATGTTTCTAATTCTAGTCGATCAGTTGAAGTGAAAAATTAGAGCATAGAATTTTATTTCTGAATGATGAGCGGCTGAGATGTTTCTAACTAACTGATTGACACAACAATTTGAAAGCATTAATAAACCTCTGACCAGTTTCATTAATAAATACCAACCTATGAATAGGTACTTTATTTCTGCAGACCCTGAACTTCCACAATGCGTCTAGTCGATTTGATATAGCAGAATTCTACTTTGCCAACTTATATAATTGTAGAAAATCACGATATAATTTATCTTTGAACTGTGCATATTTCTATACAGAAAAAACTGTCAAATTTGATGAAACCATGACTCAACTGGAAATTTGGTTTCTATTACAGGAAGTTCAATGGCTTGAAAATGTATGAATTGTTCAAAGACTGAATGATCATCTGTTCTCTACCAAATAACCAAAGAGTGTTGAAACCGATGAAAACGATGAAGGGGTAGAACAAAAAAATAAAATTCACGAGCAACTAATTCCTCCAAAAAAATGTTGTCTTTCCAGTTGAAAAATGAATTGGTTTGATGACCAACAGAAAAACAACGAAGAAACAAATAATTTGTGGTGAAATTATTTTCGATGGCAAACTTTGGAAGACAAAAAAGTATTACTTCTATCGTGTAATGCTTGAGTTATCATGTGATATTTTTTTGGTATAGACGATTAACCAACTGAATTCTCTGTTGAAATTGTCACCTCATAAAGTCACATCAACTCAAGTGACTCCAACGAATCAAGTAGATGAATGGTGTTGTCAATAGAAGGGCGCGCCAGCATCATCAACTAACGGCCATTCCCTACACCGTGGAGTCAGTGATCAATAGGTCCGAGAAATATTTTCCCTAGGCAAGCTCATGGTTTCGAGACTAGAGAGGGCTCCAAAAATCAGAATTTTGACAGAGTGGTCTCAATAGAATCTACGGAGATAGCGGGGGAAATTTTTCCTCATCTTTTCGGACGATATTTGTCTCGACAGAAGTCAAAAGCTCTACGACAATTATTGTTTTTCTCTTATGGTCGAGAAGAAGTACATCAGGATCATCATCTTGTATGAGCTCGAGGGTGGGGAATGAATAGTTTCAGTAAATTCAGCACTCCTCGTTTCCCACAACGGATTTGATATCCCTCGAAGCATAGGGCAACACCAGTACAATAGGAGTTCCGTAGGTTGTAATGAAGCACTTTAGGGCCGATAGTTATAGGTCAATACCATATATGCTGGACATAGTGACACAGATTCATATTGTTCAGTGGCTGAAACTAGTTACCAAAGAAAAAGTGGTCATGGTTCAGCAAAAGATAGGATAGTTTCGACCTGCTACAGGTCTCATCAATGGTACTACCATCTACCACGAATTCAATGTTGAGTCCACTGTCTTTAAAAGACAAATCTGAGTATAAATCAGCATGGACATGGACAAATCTTGCAGCTCAGTCAAAGCATCAATATGAAACCTGAGCCCGAAAAATATTGATGTCAAAGCTTGCCTTGTGAGATGCAATGAGTGCCTAGTGGAGTGTTTTTGTAAGGAAAGTTGTCCTTGATCACTTATACTCAGGTTCGTCCTGTAAGGACGGTTGAATCGAACAGTACTTCCGTGGTACCGCACTGATAACGCAGATCGGATGTGTTTTCTGATAGATGTATTGTAAATGCTTCATTTTTGGGTTTTGTTCAGTTGAAAACTTTCAAAAATATGAGTCGGTATCTGAGAAAAATCAACTGGTGTTAATTTGGTCCAGTAAATGAATTGATTTTTCATATCTGAGGCTCATAGCAAGTTTCTGAGAATTGTTGAATGTTATCGAGAAATTCACAAAATAGAAAGATTTTGAGCTGGAGGGATGAAAATAAATATTAACGGAGTTCCATCCCAACACCAAACCGTTATTTTTAACACCACAATACGTGTTTCAATCACCAAGTGACTATCTTAAGGAGAAAGATTGAAACTTCCTCTTTCTTCTTCGATACGTGTTTCACTCACCAAGTGATCATCTTCAAGAGAAAGATTAAAACTTCCTTTTATTTCCTCTTATATTTGTATGTATTATTACAAATAATTTGTAATAATTTACAACAGATAAACACGCAGATTTTCTAAGAGGGTGTTAAGTGCAACAAAAAAAAGCTGTCATTCAATAATCTGACGATTTCAATCTGATGCAAACTCGCGGCCATTATTTTATTGTGCAAAAACAATACGCCATTTTGAAATACTCAAGCGCGTCAGATTAAGATATATATGGTTCATCTTTATGTTTCAGATGTGCTGTCTCGTAATCCGACGATTATCTAGAGGGATTCGCTTAATCTGACAAAAACAATATTTTTTTCAATACATTGAACTAAATTAATTGAAAAGCTCAGGAAATAGCATAAATGAATGTATGTTTTTTAAGTAGAATACTGGTATTTATGGGAAAATAATTTTAAAAAATGCTCAAAAAAATTTAATTTTCCATAATCAATTGAATAATCAATGAAGAAAAGAGAAATGAAACTTTATATGTTTTTTACCACATTTATTTGTAAATCCCTTATGGGATGAAACTGCAGTAACGTTAGTTACAAATAAAAGTGGTAAAAAACATAGAAAGTTTAATTTCTCTTTACTTCATTATGATTTCCTACCACGTAGTAACGTCTACGTCCATCAATTATTTGATTATTTAATCATCATCTTCATCTTTATCACGAACGAGTCTCTGTGATCAGCTGTGATGGCGTCATGGCAACAGAATTCAGAGTGAGGACGGAGTGAGAGAGTAAAAGATAGAGAAAAAGTGAATAGAGATTAGAGGAATAGAAACTCGGAGAGAGAAATATAGGTTTCACACAGCTGCACGCATTGAACTTTATCGACGAATTTTTGTCATTTCGGCTTGCGGAAATCGTCAGATTATATATTTTTCGTTATCCTTGAAGTATTTCCTTCAAAATAAAAAAAAATCAGCTACGCTCGATATTGTCGAAATGACCTTATTTTTTTACAACTTTGCTGCCCTCTCCTTTCTTTACGTCACTCTCAAATTGTCAGATTACTGGAATATACACTTTTCAGCAGGTAATTAACTCACCCTACCTCAATCTGACGCGCTCGAGAATTTCTGATGATCTGATAATCTGATCCTTTATCCCTCACAGGCGGCCTTATATATGGGGCTCATATTTGGTAAAGGTACTTAACCGGGTACAAGGTATCCCCCTGTATATTAATCTGCCGCGCTTCAGTAAATCCCGAAATCCCCGCTTGGGCTCCCCTATTATGATAGACAGCATTCCACAGATGATCCAATTTTCATTCAGGTGGATATTACTCTTCTGAATAACCGTTCCTTGTTACAATGTAGTTTTCACCCATTCAATAACTTTGAAACTGACAAATTTAAAACTGAAAACCAACCTGTCGTTGCATGTTAAGCTATCACATCTCATATTACTTTTTATTTCTGATTGGTTTCTTCTTTAGCGAGCGAAATGTATTCTTTATAAGCAATTATGATTTCAAATTGCAATTTGAATTCTTAGATAAACGTACAACGCTGTTACAACTTTCGCTGCAGCACTGCAAGATTGAAAGCAAATCTGTTCTACTCAAACAAATTGATAATCACGACAAATAGAAATAATAGTCATAATATCCTCAACAGTGTTTCGTTTCAATGTGGCGAATCACCAATATCATCAATTATCACTATATAGTTAATGACGTTTCACATAAATGGTTCTTCACTTTTAGACTGAGGCAATATAAATAGGGAAAGTAGCTATTTATAACTATAATTAAAAACATTCTTGGCTTTGTCACTTATTTACAGCTTCATAATTAATGAAACTCGTTAATGTATTGAGTCCAATGAATGCTACTGACACCTTCTTTATTGGTTTATTTTGTGTGGAAACCATTATAATTATTGATTGAATTTGAATAATTTTGATAGTCATGGCCACAAAACTAACCTTAAATGTCAAAAAGCAGCTCTGAGATCTCCCCGACTGAAATCAATAGAATGACTCAGAAATTTAAAAACTGGTTCTAGATCAGCAATATGTAGCAGGAAAAATAATAATTTTCAGATATGTTTGTATTCAGTGACCTCAAGTTTGAAAATGTTGTTCAAGATTTTGAGCAGACTGGAACAATTTTCATGTTCACGCCTGAGGAAGTTATCATATAGCGAAACACGTGTCGCGGTTTTTATAAAAAACTTCATAGTGAAAATCATAAATGAACTGTATTGATTAGTTTTAATACGGATTTTCATCAAGTATCGGCCATTTCTATTCAATTCACATTGATCATCATTTATCATATGTCAATAAATGCGAAAGTTAGTATAAAAGTGGTACAAAAAAGAGTATTTTGTATGTTAGATTGACCTTGCATTGCTGGTTCTTGGAAAAATTTCTATTTCTAATTATTTTTCCTTGGTATGCCAAATATGTAATAGAATTTACATATTGTTTGTGGAACATGTAAATCGATTTCACAGGTATTTGTTCCAATTTAATTAATTATGATATATAGATATTTGAATACCTTAGAATCACATCTAGTTGATTTAGAGAACAGGTTATAGTTGTTGCCTCAGTAAAAGGTTACATATATTGCGAAACTTAAGTTCAGTGAACTATACTGGTTATTTCAACTTGATGAGAGTGAAAAACAGTGTTCTACGGATGATTTAGCTTTCAGTTGGATAGTTGTCCAATTACATTATAGTGAATATCGGAGAAACTACCTACAAGTTGAACAATACTTTATTCGGTTGTAAATATCAATTAAACACTCCTGATGAAGATAGTTTTTTGGTTCTGGAAACACTGCACTGAAAATTTCAGGATAAAATGTTCCTGAGACCAACTGGAATTTGTGTGCTCGAGAGTAGAATGGAGATAATGCTCATCCAGAATAGGTAGTGATGGAAAAATGAAGAAGTTTGACTCTGAATATTTACCTCAGAGTTTCCCTGTTTCATGTCTCCCCAGTTAATTGACTCGTGAATGAAACATGCATCAGCCTAACAATTCATTGAATCAGGAAACATGATACAATAAAAAAAAGTAGGTACTACCTTCGTCAAATTTCAATTTAGTTTTGAAGGATATCCATTCCAGTACTTTTTGGTGAAAATAGTATATATGAAAATACTCGGTTTTTTTCATTCATCGTACGTCATCTCATGATTGATTTTTCCACGTTAATATGTAGAGTGTTATTTGAGCCTCTCAACGAAAAATGTATATAGTAACCAGCTTCGACTGTAGTAGTTTTTGAAATAAACAACCACTTTAAAATACATGAAAAAAGAAATAAGCGGTATTTTCTTACTTATACACAAAATTTTCAGATGCTTGGAGAATATTTAGCTGAGATGAAATTGATAAATTGAGTATTCTTCTCACAATTATGATCTATTATATTGCTACTTCGCCAAAAGGAGTTGTTTTATGGAAAGAGCTTCTGTTGAAAGTTATTGTTTAAAAAATCCAGTTTATTCTACTTTCGGCTTTAAACAGTTTTTGGTGAGAACAAACAACTTTTTCCTAACATTGAATTTTTTTATTGTCATCACAAGCCCAACATTTTTCCATATCTGTTGCCATGCAAGGCAATTTCACTGAGATCATTCAAGTCAGCTGTTTTATTCATCGACATTGCATCATTAAAGAAGAAAATTCGATTTACCCTCCAATCACATTTTTTCATCTTCATCACTGTCATAGTCATTCATCTCAACTAGAATCGTTTGATGTTTTTTTGCTCATCAGAGATTACAATTATTGTGAATAACTTATTCATTTATGGTAACGTCAAGTTATTGACTAACCATTTCCAGCCATTCACAGGAAGGCATTGAAAGGTGTCGAAAGCTTGTTATAAAAAAATTCACAACACCAGACGACACCATTGATTGCTATTGAAAGAAGTTGTCAAAAGTTAGCTAGACTGGCGAGTAACGATTTGAATATTGTCTTCTCAAGATTTTCCAAAGATTGAAGCATTTTTTTCTCAGCCAAAATGTCAATAATCGAAGGTTGCTTGATTGTCGAGTGACGATTTTAATGATACTTTCTCAAGAATTTACAGAGATTGTGAGGAAATATAACAGTGGCCAAGGGTGAAAATGTTAGACTAGTACGAGCAAAGAAAACCACCAACAATTGTGAAAATCTTTCTCAACATTTTATGGCAACAACTGAACAATTTCTTTCTGTTTTATTGCTGCATCTTCCAAAGCCTACTTGATCTGCGTTTCAAAGTCTACGTGAAAAAACCTAAAAGCTCTGTATTCCAAAGATGTTTCAAACAGAACATTGAGTGTGTTATATTTTTGTAAA